TTAGAATTTTGTTACACAAATATTACAAAATATGTTCCAATTGAACCAACTAGACAAGGACCGTGTTAATATTTTTCTTCTCATTATTGTGAAACATGCAAAAATCAAGCAGTGCTCGAGTATATATACGACGTCTTTAAATACAGTATAAAGTGATACATTTTTTATTTATTAATATATTTTATTACTTCTGAATATTTGTTGTATTTGTTAAATATTATTCTGTTTTTATAGGGAAGTTTACCGAATTGCCATATTAATTGTTATTATAACACACAAGCATGACGTAGACCAATTACAAGAGGTATATTTTTCTATATGCATTATATGACTTTTTTATATTATGCTTATATATGTTTAATTTATCACATACGTGACATATGTAATCCAAATGCACTAACACAGCAATTTATCATTTCTTTATCTGTAATATGAGAAAAACTTCTATTTATTAGTATCGTCTGTTAATTCATATATTAATATACTTTAGGTAAGTAAATTTGTTCAAAGTTATGTGACAAGTGACATAAGACTAATTGATGCTGTTAAACAAAAATAAAAAAGCGAATTCAGGAATACAGTAGATATGTCACAATGTATGGGACCCTTACGTAAAGCTAATAAACATAATACAGTATGTAAAGTCAAGCATCTAATGAAAGGAAGATAATAATTTTATTTGTTGTTCACATGCATTCATATGTTAATAATTTTTGTAATCCTTCTCTGATTGTTGTATTAAATATTACTTATTAATTTTAAATTGTTCTATTTTTGTCCCAATTATTTTTAATATTACATTTATCTAATATTTAACATTATTCAAAATATACATTGATTAATGCTGTGTCTCAATGTATTTTAGACAGTTAAATAACTGGAAATCACGAAATAAAAAAAAATGTTTCGTACAAACTTATGACTTCGAGCGGCATAAGCGACATAAAATGGTGCCATTGAGTTGTTCTTGGCTAGTTGTTTGAAGATCACGTAAAAGTTCAATTTCTTAAATAAAAACCTAAATTTTTATAGCATATTCTTGTAGTATACCTCAAGAGCTTTTCAAAACACTATGAGAAAGTATTTTTTCATTAAGAGGATGCTGGAGTGCCTGACGAACTCCGACGCGAAAGCGCCATCATTTCGATGGAACTAAAAATTAGAGTGATATTATCGGCATAAGTCATAATCTAAGTATGAATGTATTGTGTATGCGTATGTGTGGTGCGTGTATAAATTCGCATATTATTGTATAGCGCCTCTCTGATATTATCCTGGAACTAATCTTCTGTTATTTTTTCATCTGTTATACCGATATTGGACGCACACGTATGTAAAAATGTCGGACAAGAATATTTTTTACATTAGACTTTTCAGCCCAATTTTAATGGTTTCATAACATTTTATTATGCAGTGCGCAATTCGCGCTGCTCTTATTCGGTGTATTAAATCGTTAAACTTTTAAAAAGCTAAAATTGATAGCTCTAAAAGACATGTTATCCTAAGAGTATGTCAATAAAAATTAATGTTATAAATAACTTTATTTTTCCGAATTTTTTCGACCAACGCGAATTCCCTTTTTGTGTGCTCTTTAATCCTGCAAAAGGATTTTTAATTCTATGCAGGCAGAAAAAAGCTGTATTTGTTAGAAAAAAGTCAGGAAAAATACAGCATTTATGTGGTAAAACAGAACTCCAGCATCTTCTTAAGCACTTTTCAAGTTATGCAACTTGAAATTTGCAGTGTGTTTGCGCTCGCACGCAGACAAAGACGCGCAAATTTATATATTCTGTGCACAAATTTATCCGATTACATATGAACAGTCATTCGCTTCTTCATTGTTTAGTAGAGTGTTGTTAAGGCGTAACCTTTTACAAACTATTTACATCACATAATGTATTTAATATGTTAGCTGCCAATATTCCTCTTAGTTTTCGATGATTTCTCGAAACAGTAAGATAGCCATTAAATTTATATATCTCTGGCATTCGAAATTCAAGATTCACGGTGTTAAATGTACTATTGTTACAAATTGTTAATTGTTACAAAGTACTGCAATTTTAATAAATACATTATTGAAATCTATATAGGTGAGTAACCACAAGAGTAAAATATTTCTCACTAAAAACATATTCAAAATTTTTCAAGCACAACAAACACAGTTTTATATGTTTTTATGTTATTAAAAACATGTATTTCAATTCTGACGTACATCTTTCACTAATTAAAAATTTTTTTTCATTTTGTTAATTAATACTGCATAAATTAAGATAAATATAACAGTTAATTATCAATTGTTTTAGTGTCAAATTTTTGAACTTAATACATATCACATTTTTAAAAACAATTATTTTGATATTTGCAAAATTTATTAAAACAACAATTGTACTTTTTCAACCGTAGTGTACATATGTAAGTGTACATATGTATGTATGTACATATAATTGCAGTAAAAAGTTATTCAATTATTTGAAATATTGTAAAGACGATTTTATTATAGAATTAACTATAATATTCTATACTATTAAATATTGTTTTTTTTATTTATCGCGTTTCTAATATTATGTCCCAGACTGCACACATGTCCAAATACATCCAAAAGATATCCAGAGGATGTCCTGTCGTCCCAAAAACGTCTTCGGGATACCCTCTGGACGTCTTTTAGATATGTTGTGTTGTCTGGATGTAAATTTAACATAATTATAACCTTTTTGGTTTTATATTAAAAAAAAATTATGTTAAGAACAATTAAACAAATTATGTTGCTTGTAAGATGGAATATAACTTTATATATTTAAAATTTCGTTTTTTTATTACTATCAGAAAAAATTTTTTCTTCCTTTTAACCATTTTTCATAAAAATCTTACACCGCATTAATACGATCAACTACAATAGTTGCTGTATAATCTTTATTTTTCTTATATATATGTCAAATGTATGTGTTTCTCTAATCAAGAAATACTTCCTGCAGATACTTTAAATGGAAATTAATATGACATTTCGACATATTTTATTAAACGTCGGATTAATATTAATGATAATTATACTATTTACTGAAAAATTTGCTAAAAGTGACACTGAACTTTATAACAATGTGTTGAATAGCATTCCTGTAATACCACTGCATTATGATGTCAAAATAAATTTTAAAGTATCCAAAAATATCTTTTTTGGAGAATGCAATATTATCATCCAAATTAAAGATTTAACAGAAAATATAACTATAATGAGTTCAAGAATTTTCAGTATAGTAAACATAAGCCTGATTGACAACAATAATAATCAAATAATCAATATTCCGAATTTTTCATTTATCAATAAACCGCTTAATAAGACGTACATTTTTTTGGATTTTATCGAGTCATCAATGCTATTTCTATCTCTTGGTACGTATATCTTAAAAATGATATATGTGCAAACCATATTAGATAGCGGAGATTATTTCGAATCTTTCTACACACATAAAGGAGAATTGTAAGTTAATATAATCAATTTTTGGTAAAATAAAATTAAAAATTTTTAATTAATCATTTATTTAAAACAAAATAGATTACGCAACAAAGGTATTAAACTAATAAAAGCAGGAGAACTATTTCCATGTTGGGACGAGCCTGTATTTAAATCAACTTTTAAGATTTCTATCTTGCATCATAAAAACTACACATTTTTGTCGAGTATGTCGATACGAGAGCAATTTGAAGATGTGAATGACATGATGTGGACTCACTTTGACAAATCATATTCAATATCCGCTCAACATTTAACAATTGTGATAATTGAAATAATTAAATTCAGTTATTTCTCGATTTTTTACGAAAATGTCAAATTTTGGTATAGAATGGAGGCAGTAGAACAGATGCAATTTGCAAATGACATTGTCGGAGATGTCTTGTACCGTTTGGAACAAAAAAGTATAACAAATATATCAAAAATAGATTATGTTGTAATTAAAGACTTTCAATACAGTAACGTAAAGTCACGGGGATTCGTTCTATTAAGGTAATATTCATTAATATTGCAAAAATTAGAATCAAATTGAATTATTATATACATTTATAATATAAAATTAAAAAATGCATATTAATATTGGTAAGATTATTAAAAAACAACTGAAATATATCACTCTTGTATCATTTTTTGATAAAAACTTTTATCTTTCTTTAAACTAAAACTTCAATTCAGATTTTATTATTAAAAGTATAAAAAATAACTGCGTTTTACGTTTTACAAATAAGGTATATGCTATAAAATCTTATTCTTGCCACCAATAATATTGAAAAAATCATCAAAATTCTTATCATTTTAAATCTTATACACATTTTCACACATAATATTACTCATGCAAAAATGCTCGAAACACTTTTTCTTTTCTATCCTAAAATTAATTCTATGAAAATGTGTAAGTTAATAGTTATTACTAAGTTATTTTATTCACAATATAATATATAGTTCATTAAAAACACAAAGTTATTTAAATATAAGATTTTTTATCTTGTCAAATTCAGATTTAACTTTTAGAATTTATAACTGATTTGCCTTTAAAATTATTTTTTATTAAACATAATTATACGATTATTGCATAATTATAATAAAAATTTTGGGTATACTTTAAATATTTAAAACATTTTTCAGGGAAGAAGATGTTATTTATAATAATACAATAGATCACAATGTCCGTAAAATGGAAGTGGCAAACTTAATAGCGCGTGAAACGATATTTTGTTGGTACAGCGATGTGTTTCTGTGGTCAAAGGAAGGATTTATTACATTTCTTGCAGCCGATATTTTGAATCAGGTTTTTTTATATTCGTACTATTAGTACACTACATTTCTAAACTTTATAATATAACCGACCAAATGTTAATACCAGCTGTTAATAGCGTTATGTATATGTTGCCAAAATTCAAATACACTTCTATCGACTACATATTTACTCGATGTTACGCTTTACAGGCTCAATATCGCACGATGGATTTATTTGTCGTCCAAACACAACAGGAATCTTTACGTTTCGATACTCTCCCTGTAGATTCACATCCATTATACACCGCAAACATCTCTGCAGTTAATTCATTTCAATCGTCTTTTCAATATATCAAATGTAAGTTTAAGTAAATATAATGAAAATATTACTTATAATTAAAGAAAATACAATTCAAAAATATTGATAATTGTACGCATATTCTTAAATTTTATAGTAGAATATAAAAAAAACTTTTAACGACAAATCGATTAAAATACAACGTATTTATAAATAAAATTTATTATAAGTATATTTAAAATGAGAATTAATATTATTTTAAAATACTAATTACTATTACGTATTAATAGTAATTAATATTATATTATAAAGTAGAAAGAAATATCTCAAACTAACAAATACCTAAACTACTTAACAATGACTTTATAATTTGAATTGTAATAGCATTCATTGCATGGCGCATGTTATATCATCTAGTATCTTACAATGTGTTCTGGACTGGTATTCGCACATATATAATGCAGTGAGTAATATCTTTATCTAAGATTATTATGTAGCAAAATTATACATTAAAGGAAAATGACATTATTTATATCGTAGTCAAAGGATATATATAAATTGTTTAAAATCTATTGAGCTATCTATTATCTATAACTCTGTAAACAATATATGTGTGTGTGTCCGACTATTGAAATTTTATTTGTACTTATCTAAATTAAAATAATTGATTTTCGAAATTTGTACAATTTAACTTTAATAGTTTTTTGAAAACTCACGTTTCAAGTTATAGATAAATAAAATATTATATTCTTTACATAACTCCAAGTTTATTAATATATATTTATGATTTTGAGACTAATTATAAAAAAATAAAAGTAATAAAAATATCTGCAAATGAGGTATTTTGATAAGTAATGATTTCTGTCCACAATTTTATTTAAAAAAATTTACTTAATTCGCAATTATTGGACGAGAAACGCAAAGACTATTTTTAAATCTTAAACCAAATATAATTCAAAATATAGTTCAAAATATAATGTTTTTAAATATTTATATACATCTTTTATTTTACAAACATAATTGTATATTTGAATAAATTAAATAATAATTTTCTGTTAGCTAATAAATGTTCACGTGTTGTACGCTGTAAAAAACATATTTTTATAGATATAATCAGTCAAATGTACACGTCGACCAATTGTGGAATATTATACAAATTGTTTTCGATAATTATGGCAGCAACCTACAACATTTAAATATAACAGATGTAATGAATACTTTTATATTAACTGAACAAAAATATTCTCATCTGTTCGTGGAACGAAATTATTTGAATGCCATGACAATATTCACTTGCATTAATTTTACACTCGATGAAAGAGCGACATTTCTAACATTAGTTACATATACGACAAAATCAAATGACTATAAGTCCTTTTTGTTTGATTGCCAAAAACCGTGGTACGCAAATAAGAAGTTTGACAAAAATGACTGGATTATAGTCAATTTAGAACAAATTGGTAAATATACATATTAATACATACATATTAATATATACATATATGAACAATTGATAAATAATCGTAAACAATCGTATTTCATTTCAAATTTTATATTTAATACAACCAAAATTTTACAATACTTTAATTTATTTGTATTTTTATTTTATTGTTATTGTGACTATTTTTCAATATTGTCCAAAATTAATTACTACATGTATATAATCAGAGTTAATTAAAATTTTTGCAAAGTTTTTTCTACAACTTAAGTCACTAAAAGTGATAAAATAGTAACAAAAATTGCATTGCAACAAATAACTCACAATAAGCATTTTTTTTAATATTTTCTAAAAAATATTTTATTATAATGTAAATAATTTTAAAAAATGTTTAAAATGTTTACTATTGTTACGTCCTGATAGATGTAGAATTTTTTCGTTGGGCTCGGCGATCGACGTAAACGGACCTGACCGCACGAGCCGAGCGGCACGTTTAGGACTTGCGACGGGTCAGCGACTGGAAGAGTCGTTTTTACTCCGTCAACAAGTCAACCGCTCGTGGTTCCCTTTTTGGGTCAAGGAATTGAATCCCTATTACCCGGGGCGGAACCTTTGTGCGCAATTTGAGAGGGAAGGTGTGAGGGGGGTGACGAACGAGGAGGGTGTGGTTTAAAATGAAAAGAAAAAAAAACAAAGTTTAATTATTAAAGACAACATTTTAATTGATTGGATTTATAATTAGGATACAAAACTTAATTCTTAATTG